TAGTTCACTTGGTTAGCTATTTGTCCCATTTGATTTTCGAGCCTAGCTATGGATTGAGTATGGGAGTGAACCATTCGAAGAGTAGGTTGCAAGGATGTCAAGAGATGCTTGTTGGAATCTATGATTTGCTTGTTTAATGATTCCATCATTTGCACATTTAATGATTCCATCATTTGCTTGTTTGCAGCCACTATCTCATCAATTGGATTCACAGGAGGTTGAGTGGAGACATTTGGATTGTATGGAGGTTGGTAGCTTGAAGAGGCTTGGAAAGGCCTACCTTGATATTGAGAAGAGGGCTGATTTTGAGGCCCTTGATTTTGAAGTTGGGAATTTTGTGGGGCTTGTTGCCTCCACGAAAAATTCGGATGGTCTCGCCAACCCGGATTGTAGGTGTTGGAATATGGATTGTTCCCGGGCTGTGAGAATATGGCATTAGCTTGCTCTTGGTTGGGATTGGGAAATTGCTCCGGTGTGGGGCAATCTTCCGAGAGATGAAATGGACTATTACATGAGGCACAAACTGAACTTGCCGAATTTTGAGACAATGAAGGGGGAAGATGTGGTGCCATCAATTGGTAGAATTTATGAGCTATGGCATCCACTTGATATGATTCCTCCCTTATAGATTTTGGTTGAGAAAGGTTGGTGTTCTTTGCATTGGTTGAGGCCGGAGCCCTACGAGAATTATGTTGAAGTGAATTTTCGCTTAAATTCTCAAGTAGGGTCCAAGCCTCATCCGCATTCTTGGACATGAACATCCCACCATAAGAAGAATTAACCATGAATCTATGGGTTTCGGTCAAGCCGGCATAGAAAGCTTGCACTAATTGCCATTTTGGGATCAAATGATGAGGACATTTCCGAAGAAGATCTTGTAGCCTTTCCCAAGTCTCATGGAGTTGTTCTCCATCAATTTGAGAAAAGCTTAGAATGGAACGCCTCATTTGGTTGGTTTTACTCACCGGATAATACTTCTTAAGGAATTCTTGTTGCAATTGAGCCCAAGAAGTAATGGAATTGGGAGCAAGGGAGTTCAACCAATATTTTGCCCTATCCTTTAGGGAGAATGGGAAAAGATGGAGATGAAGTGCATTGTCCGGAAAACCTCTCAACCGGATGGTCGAACAGATTTCAAGAAACTCATCAAGATGCTTATATGGATCTTCATTATCAAAGCCATGAAATGATGGAAGCATTTGGATGGTGCTTGATTTGATCTCATATTGAGCTGCATCTATGTTTGGCATTACTATGCAAGAAGGAGAAGCATAGGTGGTAGGAATGAAATGATCTCTAAGAGTCATTGGTTCTACATTAGGAATTTCAGCCCTTTCATTCCCTGGATTTCCTACGTTATCCCCTATTGTATTGAATTCAGTTTCAAGATCTCTTGTAAGAGTGGGTTCCCCAAGGTTCCATCTAAGGGTTCTTTCAAGTGAATTTATATCAATAGGCGAGTCAAGTGTGGGTAGAGAGAGTGACCTACGGCCAAACATCAACAACAAAGCATATATTCAACAACACAATTCATCATCAATACTCCACATACGATGTTCCTTTTCTCCTCAAATATCAAGACAGAAAATAAATGGCCACGACAAGGACCGATGCTTGTACACGAAATTAAACAAGATAATAGCCTCTACAAGGGCTTCACAACTAAATTAACTACTTCTAAAATTAACACATGTACTGTATCCACAATTCGAAACTAGAAGTCAAGAGACTTACCTGGGGTCTTCTAGACTTACAATTTGCTAGCAATTCCACGGCGAGCTTCGAGTCCCTAAAATCTTACAACACGAAGATGATCAAAACACACAAGGAATATTCACAAGACACAATATTAACAATCAAACTAAAATTAACCCTAAACTTTGGTCGCTAAACTGTTTGCAGTCCCCGGCAACGGCGCCAAAAATTGATCGGTTGATCAACTATACATCAACCTTCGCAATAGCACGAATCATTGTAAAATAGGGCTATTGGTCGGGTAAGTCGAACCACTGGGACTGCGCTAGTCTATGGCAACCTAAGTGTCTAGAATTGTTCTTAGAATGATAAGGGGTTTATAGAGGGTCTTGTTTGTTTGTCACTTAAACTTAGAACTTAGAATGCATAAAATAGTAATGTGCTAGGAAGTAAAGAGATATAATACAAGTAGAGAAGCCTAAGGAAATGAATCCGCTCCATCCCTAAACACATGCTAGATTAGAGCTAAATTGGGGAAACAACATAAATATGTGACCATGGAATGCTACAACCAAAATTGCTACATTCCTTCAAGAAATTCATGAAATCAATGGCAAGTATAACCTATCAAAGATGCACATGTTTGAACTACCTAAACTAGTGTGTAGCCTTGGACATGCTTACTAAGTTAGAGATTATCAAGCCTTTAATCACATGATAGGAGCACATGAAGTCAAGAGTCAAGAATAGTCCATCAAAGGAGGGTCCTAAGCTATGGAATATCAAGATTCTCATACAACATGCCAAGAAACCCATTTCAAAATCTCATTTCCAATGTCACTATAGAAATGCAAGGCATACAATCATGAGAAAATATGATCTAAGATAAGATAATACATTCATCATAATCATTTATAAGAAATTAGGTTCATTACATCAAGTGTAACTCTAGATTGTGAAATAATCACATATATACATCATTTTCCCCAAAATAAACTAAGGCTAGAACATGCTTACTAGAGAGGGCTTCATCACCTCCCTAGATGAGGTTTAGATACCCATGAGTGAGCCTAGATGAAGGAAGAAACAAGGCTTTCCCCTCCATTTTCGAGCTTCCTCCTTGAAGCTTCAAGAACTCCTCCTCCTTGCTCTCTTCTCTCTCCTCTATCTTCCCTTGTAGAAATGAAGCTTCCCCATATTGTGTGGCTCATATCCCTCTTATCTACCACCAAAAGGCCACCAACCAACATCTCCAACCACTTCATTAAAGAGGAAAGCAAAATGAAGAAACCAAGGTGCAAGTGGGCTGAAATGAGCCATTTCCGAAGGGCATTCTGCCCAAAATTCGAGCACTCTAAGCAAGGCCTCGAGCACTCGAATTTAGTGTAAAAATGCCCATGCTTCACTTGCTCCGCCCAGACCTACTTTGGTTAAACAGCCATAACTTTGCGCTCCGAACTCTGAATGATGAACCGTTTGAAGATTTAGAAAGCTAATTCAGAGCTCTAAATATTTCATGTTTTAGTGGAGATCCAATTCTCAAGGATGGTTGGTCGAAAATGAAGATCAAGGCAGAATTTCATTGCTGCCAGGCAGTTCTGCGCACCTCTGGTAACAAGGCCATAACTCTCTGCTCCAAGCTCTGAATGACAAACTGTTTGAAGATTTAGAAAGCTAATTCAGAGCTCTAAATCTTTCATGTTATGAGGGAAGTCCAGTTCTCGAGTTTGGAAGGTCAAAATGGCAAGCAAAGTCCAGGTTCTACTGCTGCCAGAATTCAGCATTGGCACCTTTTGTTGCTCAAGATTCCACAAGGCCTTATTCTTGTTCCATTTTGGCCAATGAACCTGGAAATGCTTAAAAACATAGAAATGCAGATAATCTACATAAATTAACATACAATGGACTTTACTAATGCAATTTAGGGCGCTTGAATATATAATATTCGGCGCTTATCAATGGGCTTTTTTTTTGGAAAATAAAGCTAATATATAAAAAATAAAGGAGCTGTACATGAGAGGCCTTTGGACCAAACAACCCATACATGATGGAAACCAAAAGCCCAAAGGCTTAACAGATACACGGGCCAGGCCCAAAGAAAATCAACAACAAACCATCCATTAACGGCTAATTAGCCGTTAATGGTGGATCTGATACAAATCCGGTGAACTGGCTATTTCAGCGATCAAAGCACAATGGCTTCAAATCTTCAATCAGGTGGACGCGGTGGTGGCCGGCAACAAGACGGCGAAAGATCCCAGTCCTTAAGAATGTGATGCGTAGCAATGGAATCCCTGAAGATCCCTATTTTCATGATAGAGGTGATGGAGTGGGAAATCCTTGCCCGAATTGAATTCTGTGATAACTTCGATCCACGGAAGATACGAGCATTTCTCTCCTCCCAAATGTGATATACCAGAGCTGCAAGGTAGAGCTTTCTAAGTAGGTTCCATGGTGATGGAGAAGACACTGGATGCTAAAGACTGAAGCAATTTCCGACCACGTCGAAGCTGTAATAGAAATCTTGCATTTCGCCTTGAAAAAAGTCCAAATTGGGGAAGTAAACTCGCATGAGAAGAACAAATGAGAATGAGATTCTGGATTGACATTACACAGAGCACATATATTGTCAAATCTAGCCATAGATCTTCTATCCAAAGTGGGGAGGCGACGTTGAACAGCTAGCCACATAATGAATTTCATTCATGGGATTGCTGGAGATCTCCATACCAAGTTAAACCATGAAACTGATGGAGAGGATGGCGATAAGAGAGTTGTAGTATGCTTGTGACTGAATCTTCCAGATGGTGAGGCTGCCCAAATCAACTTGTCATTCCCTGAATTATTTGGAGCACTAAGTGCAAGGAGTTCTAGGATTGCCAAAGAGATTGATGTAGGGAAATTCCAAGTTCCACCAGAAATGAAGTGGCTTACTGTGGTTGAAAGGTCTAGACCTGTTGCAGTGAGAATTTGGGAAGGGAATCGAGTGCTCAATGGTCCAGCAGGAAGCCAATTATCATACCAAAAACAAGTGGACATGCCATTTCCACATGGTGCTTAATGAAGTTTCTAGCATGATGCCTCTATTGAAGAAGTTTCCTCCAACTCCAGGAGCAAGATTGAGGAATATCTAAAGCCCACAAGTTCCTGCCTTTGATGAGGTAAGTCTTACACCATTTAATCCAAACTCTATCTAAATTTTCTGTTAGAAGATCCCATATATATCTGATAATTACAGCTTTGTTAGAAATAACCAAGTTAGGGATATCTAAACCACCTGCCTCCTTAGGTTTATAAATATCCATCTAAGCAATCTTGGCACTTGTGGACTTCATTTCAATGCCAGACCAAAGGAATGCCATGAGTATTCTATTGATCTCATCAAAAACCACTTTAGGAAGGATGAATATACTTGACCAATAGACTTGGGTGGAAACTAGTACAGATTTAATCAATTGTAGTCTTCCTGCATAGGATAAAGACCTTGAGGTCCAATGAGTTATCGTGTGCGTGATCCTTTCAATTAGAGGCCTACAATCAGCTGCCCTTAAATAGGTTGAGATTAGAGGAACCCCCAAGTGTCTAATAGGGAGAGAACTTGTATTAATTCCTGGTAGGTTTAAGATAGCTGCTTCTGTAGAGGGGTCTACCCCTGAGAGGAATATTAAGCTTTTGGACAAGTTGATGGAGAGTCCTGACATGGTGCAGAAGTGATCTAAGGCAGATTTTAGGATGGATACAGATGTAATGTCACCATGGAAAAAGAGGAAAAGATCATCTTCAAATGAGAAATGGGTGATACCCAGCTCCTTGCACCTCCAATGGTATCTGAATCTTGGGGTTCTACAAACAATATTCTTAACAACTGAAGTAAAAATATCCATGATAATGACAAATAGAAATGGGGAAATAGGATTACCTTGTCTTAGGCCTCTTTTCCCTTTGAAAAACCCCTTGAATTCTCCATTAATTACAACAGTGAAGGATGGAGATATGATGCATGCTTAGATTAGCTTGATGAACCTTAGAGGGAAGTTGAGATGGGAAAGACAATCCAGTGTAAACTCCCATTTAACTGAGTCAAAATCCTTCTTAAGATCAATCTTAATAGCATACCTTGGAGGGGGAATGTCTCTATGATAACCTCTCAATAGCTCATGAGTGAGTAAAACTGAATCAGTAATCTTCCTACCTTGAACAAAGGTTGTTTGGGTGTGATCAATGATGTGAGGGAGAGCCAGTTGTAACTTGTTAGCTAAAACCTTTGAGATACATTTGTAGATGGTGTTGCAACATGAAATAGGTCTGTAATCATTGATGGTGGAAGGGTTTTGACACTTTGGGATAAGGGAAATGTATGTAGAGTTAGCTTCACCTAGCAGCTTACCATTTCTGAAAAACTCAAAGATAGCCTTAATTGTTGAATTACCTATAATGCTCCATGCTTGGTGGAAGAACATGGCATTGTAGCCATCAAGGCCTGGAGCTTTGTCCTTATTTAGAGATAGCATGCAAAATTATATCTTATGTTGAGATGGGACAGTATCCAAAATATAGTGAAGATGTGAGGGTACTGCCTTGGTGATGACTCTTGAGAGTTCAGCTTAAGTATGGGTAATTGGAGGGCTTGTTCCAAACAGATTCTGAAAGTGAGAGACAGTTTCATGGATAATTCCATCTGCATTATCAAGTAGAATCCCATTTGCATTGGTTAAGCAACAAATCTTCTTCCTGTTAACTCTAGAGGCAATTGATTTATGGAAGTAGGATGATTTGTAGTCCCCAAGCTTAAGCCACACCATTCTGGATTTTTGCCTGAGCATACATTCTTGAAGATCTGAAAGTCTTATGTACTTTTTAGTAAGAGAGAGATCAAGCAGTCTGAGGTGGATATCACTTGGGGAAAAGTCAAGATCCTTTTGACATGTATCTAACTCCATTTTAACTGCTGTAACTTGGAATCAACATTTGAGAAATCCACCTTGCAGTTGGTTTTGAGGATGTGCTTTAGAGATTTCTGCTTTTTAACCACTTAGAACATAGTTGTCCCAGGAATGTAATGGTTCCAAGCACTCTGAATTGATGGTAGAAAGAGAGGGTGAGAGCACCAAGCATTGAAGAACCTGAAAGGTAAACATCTTGTGGGGGAGTTAGTATCAATTGTAACTAGAATGGGGCTGTGGTCAGATACTCCAAGGGTGAGAAAGGTGCACTCTGATCTTGGAAATGAGGTGTTCCATTGTTTGTTGATGAGGGCCCTATCAAGCTTTTTGGCTATACAAGCTGAGCCAAAACTTTTGTTATTCCAGGTGTATAAAATGCCAGTGAACCTAAGATCCTCAAGTTCAGCTTGTTGTAAGCATTCACAGAAGGCATTAATGGTTGGATTTCATCTAACAGAACCACCATTCTTCTCACCTGAATTATAGATGATATTGAAATCTCCCATAACCAACCAAGGGGAGTTGCCAAATAGAGTAGAATGGTGGTTGATATCCTCCCAAAAGGAGAGCCTCTCCACTGCAAAGTTAGAATCATAAATGAAAGAGGAGTAAAAGGTGATATTTTGGTCAATGATGGATATGGAGCAATGGATGGATTGCTTAGTTGTACATACAACATCAAGATCAATGGTATTGGGATTCCACATAACCCATATTCTACTAAGCTAGGAGAAAGAGTAGTTGTGGACAAGGTGCCAGTGAGCTGCAATTCTGTTGTGGATTGTATCCATATTAACTGGGGAGACTTTGGTTTCTATAATAGATAGTATATCTAGTTTATTCTCAGAGATCATCTTCTAGATCTCATCCTGTCTAGAGGACATGTTTAGCCCCCTAATGTTCCATGCTAGGATGGAGATCATTGAGGAGTGGTGGGAAGTGAGGGATCTTGTGATACCCCTGAATTTCTGGATGCGGGTCGGCCAGGTCCATGCACGATTACCCGAGGATATCAAACCAATTAGCAATTAATGAACATATAATACAATTAAGATAACAGGAATGAATAAAAATTTACTGAAAAGAAACTAAAGTGAAAATCCTTTATAGAAAAAAAAAAACCTCAGAATAAAATTTTATAAATAAATAATTAGTCTAATACATCCAACTTCTCCAATTCTAATACAACTCGGGAATCCATCTCTGATGGACCCTTAATAATAATCCAAACTGAAATGAAATCTACTTAAAGAACATCCAGAGTAAACCATGGAGAAAAGTCCTACGTTATCAGAAGGGTGAGTAATAGTCTTTGCTCAGCACGATCAAATCTAAGTCTGGAACTAATGAGTACCTGAAAAATAGAGGTGGGTCAGGCCCACAAACAAGTTCTAACCTACTACAATCCAAGCAGAGACTCGATACGCATATACATTCTAACCAACTCAACAATAGCTAATAGTCCGTACGTATGTATATTCACACTACAGGACTCTCACTGGACTATGGAGAGGGTCTCAACCTGAATAGAAGGCATCATGTGAAAACGCACCCATAAGTGGGCATGAGTACCTAGACCTAACAGGGTACACCTCAACCTCTCATATCCAGCTACGCATCCTATTGCATATGCACACCTTAACCAACGAGTCTGAAACTCAAGCTCATCTCGTGGTACCATAAAAATATATTTAAAATCCATTCATATCCATCCATAGGAAATCCAATAAATCGTTCAACTTATTCAACTGCACAGACTTATAAAAGAGATCCAATAAGTCGTTCAGCTTATTCAACCGCACAGACTTAAATATAAGGAGAATTATGTTTTTATAATTCGGACCCTTATTCCAAACTAGGTAGGACTGAGTATTTTTAATCAGTCTGTCCCTAGTATGCCATAGTCCCATATCGGTTCATACAATCCACAAAATCTATATAATTGATAAAACATGTAAAGCTGTTCACCAATTAAAATCCATAAGGTAGGAATTAGCGTTTTGAGCTAAACCATACCTAGTATGTCATCGTCCTATACCGGTGCATACAATTCTTCATATTCATGTAAATTACAACATATAAATAATAAGCAAGTAATTTACAGTCTAAAACCAAATATCCATATCATTACAGAAAAGTGATTAAGGTTTCAGCAATTTAAATCCTATATCTAAACCATATAATTGTAAGAAATGGTTTAATAGTTCAACAACCAGCATCCAGAGCATGCATAGGTCAGTTTTAATAAATCAACAACTCTATCATGCATTTAAATAAGTTTTATAATCATATTATAGTCCAAACAATTGCTAAATTAATTTAAGCAATTTTGTTCTTTCCATCCGGTGACATGGTTCTCCAATAAGATTAAAATACAGAGAATAGGTATAACCCATTCTATAATCCACTATGAGCATAATAATAATATTATCATAATTAACATGCTCACTTTAAACTATTCCAAGATATCCAGTAAGTTTATAAGACACAATACTGTATATTTAACAACTAGGTTCCCACTAAGCATAATAGAGCGACTAAGTTCCAGTAATTGATCATCCATGTCATACATATAAGCATCAATTTTAAATCCAAGATAACATAACAGAATATACATATTCATATGCTTACTATTATACCAAACCAACACTAACTGAAGCAAGTCATTAAATTCTATACGTCAGTTAATCCGTGGCTAACAGTGATTAAAGTTTAAGTATGATTATTCCTCCCACTGTTCCATGACTAGTATGGTGTAACCATCCACTGTAAACTGCAAATTAAATCATAGGCAATTAAACCTCTACATCTCCAAAAACGGTAACCAGATTTGCATCTAACAATTTATGCATTGTTTTACTATAAACACCAGTGTTTTAATCCACGTTAACCAGCCCTTGGAAACTTTAATATGGCCTTAGAACATACTAAAAACCCCATTTATACGTTCTAACAAGATCTGAAATCTCCAAAATCCAACCCTCGTAGCCCAAACGGTCGCCGAAATATCAAAAACTGGAAAAACCTTAAAGGAGCCGACTCCAAACAAGTTGGAGCCGCCTCCAAACAAGATGGAGACACCTCCAACTCACTTGGAGCAGCCTCCAAAGAACTTTGAGCTGGCTCCAAAATATTTTGGAGCCGCCTCCTTCCTCCTCTCCTCCGTTCTGCTTGCTTCCTTCAACTGTGTCCTCTCCGGTGACATCCAGTTCTTCCGTCCTAAATTACTAAGGCTGCTACTAGTTTAAGTTATGTCTCAGTATAATCCAAAAATAGTTTAATGCCTTAGTCATTCACCGTCAACAATCGGAACAAGAATTATACAACGAGAGGTTAAAGCGAGCAGTTTATAATTCAAGAACACACACTATTCTAAATAATTCAATCATGTGAACCAGAGTAATATTAAGGCTTCTCAAAGTTTTATAAACTAGTTCAACTCTCTGTACATCAGTTTACATGACTTAGATTAAGAATTTCATAGGAAAGTATGTAAAACAATAGTACACAACCCACGACCACATTTAGTTTAAAAAAACATCAAGACATGAACACCAGTTTAAGTTTGATTCTTATTTATTCCTGGAGTTGAATTAGACATGCAAAGAACACAAGTCAATGGGATAGAGTTAGGATTAGAACTTGCCTATGAGTTTTCAGTTCAAAACCTCAGCGTTGTCTTCCTAAGTTTCTTCAACGAACTAGGAAATCCTCCTCTGTTCCCTCCCTGCCTCCACTGTTATGAATAGGGTTCTAAAACCCTAGGCAAAACTTAATACCTATATTTATAGGTTTACACAAGACCTAGGTTCAATTCAAACCCTACACTAAATCCTAGTCGGCCTATAGAAAACCCTATTTAAAATCTACGTCAGCCAACATACGTGAATTCTTAAAGAACCCTAAGTACTGAACGTAATTTAAAAAAAAAAAAAAACTCATTTACCTTAATTACCTAATTAAATAATTCCTTACAACAATAAGATTAAAATAAAACAAAATAGTGAGATCAAAATAAAACAAATAAACAAGTTAGCCAATTAAAAACAAATTAAACATATAATTAAATTAAACCAACCAGTCAATTCACACATCACGTAATTCAAACTTCACATATAGCCATATAAGCACCTAAAAATAATAAAATAAATACTGAAAACAATAAAATTCTGATTATATCCCTTTCAAAACTAGGGGTATTACAAATCTGGACACCTTTGAATCCCATGGGGCTCATAAGATATCAAACCTGGGCTATGGCTTTTGTTTTTTCTTGCTTGAGACTTCAAAAGTCTGACTGTGGATCTTCTTGGAGTCTGACTTGGAGCACTGTGATGATCATGGTCACTTGGGCCAGAATTAAACTGCGCAGGTGTTGAAATTGGTGATGTGGTGGTTGTGTATGTTCTTGGATTGAGATTAGGAGCACTGTGATGATCTTGGTTTCTTAGGATTGTGTGAATCTTCACAGGTGTGGCTGTTGGTGAAGTTGGAATGGTGAATGAGGATGCAGGGTTTGATGTGGGGCTATTATGGTTTGAGTAGCATAGCTTTTTACAGCATGAAGATGATGGATGTGTTCTCACTGGGACTTTAGGATTTTGAGATCGTGATCTTTGAGGTGATTTTGATACATTACCATTGTCTTGTAGCTTGGAATGGGTAGAGTGATTGGAAGGTAAAGATAGGGGGGTTGGAGATACATGTGATGGGGAATGTTGTGAAGATTGGTGTGGAGTAGTGTCATGGTTGGCTTGTAGAAGAGGGGAAACCCGATTATTGGTGTGAGAATCATTTGCTGGAGCCTTATTCCCAATCTACCTTCTTTTCTTCCTGATAGTAATCTAGTCATTTGAGGGGCTTTTGGGGACTGGGCTATTATCCCTTGCAGGGGTGTGGTCAGTGATATTCGGTCGGCATGAGAACTCTGTGTGGTTGAGCTTGTTGCACCTTTTGCATATTTTAGGCAGCCATTGGTACTCAATACCAATTCTTTCAATTTTATCATCCTCCATTATGAGTACAAATTCAGTTAAAAGGGGCTGCGAGATGTCAATATCAACACAGATTCTTGTATATTTGAGTTTAGTTCTACTCACTGTTGCTTGATCTGCATAAAGGGGAACCCCTACTGAGCTAGCTACGTGACTAAGACCTATTGCAGTCCAATAATGGGCAAGTATATTGAAGAATTTAACCCAAATTGGGATACATGAGGCTGTGCTGAGGTGTGGTGGAGGCTAGAGGCTCCATTTCTTGAGGGAAAAAGGGGTGCCCAGCTAAGTTCCAAGGGCCATTTGTGAGGACATTTTTAGCTTCATGACTGGTGCGAAGTCTAAAGATGTAGGAACCATTGTCTCCAAGTATTGTGTCAGTGAGTCCATAGGAGTTCCATATCTTAGCTGCTGAAGATTAAATGACCTTAAAAGGAAGTCTTTTGTGTGTAGATAGTCCAATGAGATGGGT